CGGGCGGGCGATGGTAGTTCAGTAGTAGGACTCAAAGTTGGACATATTGTTGCATATGTCAAACCTTAGCCAATCAAGGCCAAGCCCAGATCCCAAAAAAGAGTACGTCAGCTGGGTTTACTAGTCTTTTTTCTTCAACCTCAAATATTAAACATAAGAATCTAAATTTTTTATTGAATTTCAGGTACTTCAATTCATGGTGGAAAGTCCCATCTTTCTTTTCTGAGATTATGTTAATTTCCATTTGGTTGTGTTTTAGTGAGATCCTTCAAAATTATTCAATTTGTTTATGTTTAAATGAGACTATTATTGATGGAAAAGAAAGTGATGTTTCTTATTGAATCACAGTCGTCTATAATTACAAGGACACCCTTTATCAATGTTAAAGTTCAAAATGAAGCTACTTCACTGAGTTGAAAAGGATCATTTTGAGCTTCTTATTCTTATATACTCATAGTTGGATTGTTTCCTATAAGAATGTTCAGAATTGTTGACATCTATTTGCACATTGAAAGATAATGTTTCTTTATCCTTGTAAAAAAAAAGAAAGATAGAAAGATAATGTTTCTTTTGTGGTCCCTGATTTTCTCAAAAGTAGTGTTCTTGTCTTATGATAACATTTAGTTTTAAAGAGATGCTGTTGGCCTCTGATTTTCATTAATGAACATATTTTCTCAGTCCCATGATTATTCGTCACATATGTATTCCTAGGTGCCCTTCACCAAGAAAGGAAGTTAGGCTTCTGTGAAAATGATTCACTTCCTATCTGGATTATCTGGGATTGAGCTGTGGTTATGGCGACAATTAAGAGGCTTAAAAGGGCTATGATCTTGTTAAAAGACTATGATCTTGTTAAAAGACTATGATCTTGTTACTTACTATATGGGGTTTGGTTCTTTGGTTCTCTTCACAAATAAAATGAACCTCATTTGGTTTAGTGTGTGGTTCAGAAGGGAGCATTCTATAAATAACAGTTTAATCTCTATCTACACTATATAATCATGAATCTAGTTAGTTGATTTATAAATTTCCCTCATAGAGTTTGTAGATCTCAGGCATTCTTGACTTAAAAGGTGGTAGTAATTTCATTGGTATGGCTTGTTTAGTTTATTCCCTTTTCTCTTTCAATTTCACTCAGGATGCATTTCGTGAGGCCAAATCCCATGGCTTTAGTGTCACCGTGATAAGAAAGGGGCAGCTTCAACTCAACATTGACCAAACATTAGAAGAAGTGGAAGAAGAAATAGTTGAAATTGGAAGCAAGATGTATCATGATATGATTATGCGCGAGCGTTCAGTTGATATGGGTGCCTTAATGAAAGGTGTATTTGGCAGCGGCAAACCAATGAGACGGTAATGGATATGTTCCTTTTAATCAAGAATGTAACTGACATATACTTAGAAAACCACGAAAAAGGTAAAAGTAATCATATAGAATTAAAGCTTACACATTTTTTCACTGTTTAGGTTTCTTTTTTAAATGCTGAACTGTTTTGGGTTTCATCCTTTCTTTTCTAAAACTTTCATCACAAGCTTGAAAGTCGAAATGCTTTTGCACTGTATTTTGTGGGTTGTCCTTGGTTCTACTGGTGAAGGTACCTAATGATTTTGTGAGATTTCGTTGTCATGGCATTTGAAAGTATTCTAGTTTTTTATGATTTTTTTCTTGTC